GCAGAGTGTCTTCTACTCACAGGCATTCAGTAAACATCTGTTAAACAAATACTGTAAGAAAAGATGGGAAATGCCTTTTCTTATTGATTCACTATAAACTTGCTAAGGTTCTGCTACATAAAGGTCTGGATTGTCAGGCCCTCCTCCAGGGATAGTATGCTACCAGAGTTCAAAAGAGGGAGAAATCCTTTCAACAGGGGTAATAACAACCTCAGAGAAGAGATGCCATCTAAGCTGACACAAAATAAATGGGATTTACATAATACAGAACAGGCAGAGGGCTTTCCATGACAGCAAAACAAAAAAGTGTTAAAGATGCAATAGGAAAGGCAAAACACTTCACTTGGATAGGCACAAGGGCAGTTATAAGACAGCAGAGACTGATGGAGTGGAATAGTCTCTGCTGGGGACAGACAGTAAAAACCCTTCAGTGGTGGGCTTTGGAGTAGGAACATCATTTATTAGGCAACTGGCAATCATCGAAGGTTTTCTAGAAGGCAGTGAGAAATATTAGAAGGGTAAATCCTGGGGAAAGAAATGGCAACTCAAAAACATAGCCCCCTAAAATAAAGTCTCACTGTTTCCAAAAATAAAGTCTCCACTGTTTTTTTTTTTTTTAGTAGACTTGACTTTTTACAAGAGTTTTAGATGTATAGGAAAATTGGGAAGATACTAAGGAGAATTCCCAAGGATCTGATACCTAGTTTCCCTCTATTTGTCATGAAGTGATAGGACCAATACCATGTTTTCTGAATGGTGAGTTTTAAGCCAACTTTTTCACTCTCCTCTTTCACTTTCAAGAGGCTCTTTAGCTCTCCTTCGATTTCTGCCATAAGGGTGGTGTCATCTGCATATTTGAGGTTACTGATATTTCTCTCAGCAACCTTGATTTCAGCTTGTGCTTCATCCAGCCCGGCATTTCACATGATGTACTCTGCATATAAGTTTAAAAAAGCAGCGTGACAATATACAGCCTTAACATACTCCTTTCTCCATTTGGAACCAGTCTGTTGTTCCACGTCCAGTTCTAACTGTTGCTTCCTGACCTGCATACAGATTTCTCAGGAGGCAGGTCAGGTGGTCTGGTATTCCCATCTTTCAGACTTTTCCACAGTTTGTTGTGATCCACACAGTCAAAGGCTTTGACATAGTCAATAAAGCAAAAGTAGATGTTTTTTCTGGAGCTCTTGCTTTTTCTATGATCCAGCAGATGTTGGCAATTTGATCTCTGGCTCCTCTGCCTTTTCTAAATCCAGCCTGAACATCTGGAAGTTCATGGTTCCTGTACTGTTGAAGCCTGGCTAGGAGAATTTTGAGCATTACTTTGCTAGTGTGTGAGATGAATACAATTGTGCAGTAGTTTGAGCATTCCTTGGCATTGCCCTTCTTTGGGACTAGAATGAAAACAGACCTTTTCCAGTCCTGTGGCCACTGCTGAGTTTTCTAGATTTGCTGGCATATTGAGTGCAGCACTTTCACAGCATCATCTTTTAGGATTTGAAATAGCTCAACTGGAATTCCATCACATCCACTAGCTTTGTTCATAGTGATGCTTCCTAAGGTCCACTTGACATCACATTCCAGGATGTCTGGCTCTAGGTGAGTGATCACACCACCGTGGTTATCTGGATCACGAAGATCTTTTTTGTCTATTCTTCTGTGTATTCTTACCACCTCTTCTTAATATCTTCTGCTTTTGTTAGGTCCATACCATTTCGGTCCCTTATTGTGCCCTTCTTGGCATGAAATGTTCCCTTGGTGTCTCTAATTTTCTTGATGAGATCTCTAGTTTTTCCCATTCTATTGTTTTCCTCTATTTCTTTGCATTGATCACTGAGGAAGGCTTTCTTATCTCTCCTTGCTATTCTCTGGAAATCTGCATTCAAATGGGTGTATCTTTTCCTTTTCTCCTTTGCCCTCAGCTCTCTTCTTTTCTCAGCTAATTGTAAGGCCTCCTCAGACAACCATTTTGCCTTTTTGCATTTCTTTTCTTGTGAATGGTCTTATCACTGCCTCCTGTATAATGTCATGAACCTCCATCCATAGTTCTTCGGGCATTCTGTCTATCAGATCTAATCCCTTGAGTCTGTTTGTCACTTCCACTGTATAACTGTAAGCAATTTGATATAGGCCAAATCTGAGTGGTCTAGCAGTTTTCCCTACTTTGTTCAATTTAAGTCTGAATTTTGCAATAAGGAGTTCATGATCTGAACCACAAGCAGCTCCTGGTCTTGTTTCTGCTGATTGCATAGAGCTTCTCCATCTTTGGCTGCAAAGAATATAATCAATCTGATTTTGGTATTGACCATCAAAAGTAGATAATAATAAAAGGATTGAGACGCAGCAAAATGAACCCACTGAAAGATAAATAAATGGATTTAGAGTAAACTAATGGTAAACATAGAACTTATGTGATTTCTTCCCTAAGTACTCAACAGTTTAGGGGAAGAGAGATAGCAGACAGTAGAGGCAGCCTTAGGCTGAGGACTAAAATGCCAGTCAGAGTAGAAATCTGATAGGATAAAAGGTATGAGGTGGAAGAGAGAACATGATAGAACAGCAGTCATTCAATCCAGACTAGGTAGCTTTCACACAAAGAAGAGAATTGCCTGACAGATCAGGAAGGTAAAGAACTAGGCAACTAGAGAAGAACAAATGGGAAGGCAAGCAAACACTAACTGGTGGAGGAGGTATTTACTATGACCATGGTTGAAGGACCAGTTGCAGTTGACCCTCAACTTTTTGGAGGTTAGGGATGCCAACCCTTAACATAGTGGAAAACCTTAGTATAACCAGATAGTTGGCTCTCCATACCTGTGGTTCCACATCTGCAGATTCAACCAACCCAGGATAGTGTAGCATTGTAGTATTTAGCACTGAATAAAAAATCCACATGTAAGTGGATCCATGTAGTTCAAACCCATGTTGTTCAACAGTCATCTGCATTTCAGCAAACATTTACTGAGAGTGTTCTATGAGCCAGGGACTGTGCTTAGATGTTGAGGATAAAAGCACAGTTCATGCTCTTAACGTACTGAATAATTTAATCAAGGGATTTGCAAACTTTCTGTAAAAGGGTAGGTGGTTAAAAATTTTACACTTTACAGGTCATAATGTCTCCAATGCAACTACTTCACTCTGATACTGTATTGCAAAAGCAGCCATAGACAACATGTAAATAAAGAAGCATGCCTATTTTCTAGTAAATATATTTTATTAATTCCTATAATTTTCATGGGTCACAAGATAGTATTCTTCTTTTGATTTTTCAACCAGTTGAAAATGTAAAAAAAAGAAGAAAAAATTCCTAGCTTCCCCACAATACAAAAACAGGTAGCAGGGCAGATCTGGCCCATGGGCTGTAGCATGCCAACTCTTGATCTAGTGGGTAAGCCTAGAAAGAAGAGAAAGGAATACCATCTATATACATACACTTACCATTCATACACAGTCTCAGCAACTAGCAGTAGACTTTAAGAACAGACCTATTATTCACCTCTTCAGTCTTAATAGGAAACCAACTTCTGTTTTTTACACATGCTAAAACTGATACTTTCTCTAAAAGGTTCCAAAATTTTCAAATTTTGCCAAAAAAAAAACTTAGATATTTAGCTTTATTTTCTTTAGTTCAGACATTTATAATAAAAGACCAAACAATTCTTTCATACATGCGTCATTTCAAGATTATGCTTTATGACACACCAATAGTAAGTACCATCTGGTTGCATTAATACCAAAGTATTAATACCACCCCGGGGATAGAAATATACTACACAGTAATACCAAAGCATTAATACCACCCGGGGACAGAAATATACTACACAGTAATACCAAAGTGTTAATACCACCCCTGGGAGACAGAAATATACTACACATTAATACCAAAGTATTAATACCACGGGGGGGGGGGGGCAGAAATATACTACACATTAATACCAAAGTATCAATAGCACCCCGGGGGATAGAAATATACTACACATTAATGCCAAAGTATCAATACAACCCTGGGGACAGAAATATACTACATAGTAATATTCCCTCAAATATCTCCACAGTTTTTTGTTTATATCGCTTCCTTTCACCCTGCGATTTCAAGGGTTTTTAAAATGAAAGCAGAAAACTAAAAATCTGCCTAACATCCAGGAAGTGAAACATAGTAACTCAAAGCAGCAGAACACTTCCCAGGAGCAGCAGAACCAATGTGTAACTGCTGAAGCTGGGTGATGGGTTCACGGGAGTTCTCCAGGGTGTATTTCAAATTTTTCATAATAGTTTCTGAGACTACGATGGAGAAAGAAGGTCAGCTTATGATGTCCATTAAAGCCTCAGCACTGGCACTGTGAGGAAGGCTCATGAACAGTCCTACCTCACAGGCAGGTAGACAAAGCTAGGCAAAGGCAAAGGCCAGCTAAAGAATTAGGGGCACTTAGACAGCTTATTGTTTCTATTTAAATAGCTTTTTATAGTCTTTCTATTTAAATTATTTTATTTTATTCTTGTAAAGTTACTTTTCGTTGTTTTTAGTTCATCTTAGATTATAGGATTCATTTGGATTCTGCAACTGAATACAACTAGTGTGTAACAACCTGTTGCGAAAACAAATAGATTTCAAATACACTAACAGTAACACTGCTGTCAAAAGCCAAAATTTTAGGGGAAGAGTGAGTCAGTTGATTCCCTATTCATTCCTTTAATATCACAGAACTTGAGGAACAAATTGGTGCATAATACTTATACCATATTTTAAATCTTAGGCCAGTATGGTACAGTACTTTTTCCCTTCTACTCAGCATTTTTTTTTTAGAATTACTATAGGAATTAAGTAAGTGTAATCTTTGGTTACCAAATGTAAAGAGCATGCAAATACTATCTGCATCACTTTAGTAGTCCTTATCCAGTCTTTCATATAATAAATATAGTCCTAATGTTAATAAGGATCTTTCATTCTGAATTATATAACTTGGTATGGAATAATAAAATTAAAATGAACAACAGCCAACCTGTGCTTTCCTCATGTATACCAAAGGTTCTTTAAGATGTTCAGGAGGGGCAGCTGGATGACTCGGTAAAGGAAACCTGAGGACAGAAAGAGGGAGCTAAATATTATATACTACTCTTGATAATTAATCAGTTTGTTTGGTTAGAAATTACTTACCTCTATAGTCCATGATATATGAAACAGAACATTTGCTAGCAGTTCTATGTACTTACACAAGGTACAACAACCTAATAAAACTTTAATTCTTATCCTACTAGCATTGTAACTTTAAATTAGCAATTTAATGACATTAAAACTTAAAGTGGAATTCATAGTTTGAGGTAACTTTTAAATTATTTAGTTCTGTAAGTGCTCATATGAAATTTTCACAACTGTTAATTTTAGTATATAAATATAACAGAAATTTTAAAAATCTGAAACCTAAACAAGTCTGTTAAAAATATCAACTTTTCTCATTTCTCCCAATTTCCTTTTCCACAGAATTGAAATCATAGTATAAATACTCTTTTGTAATAGCCATATTTTAGCATGCAATATACTATACACTATATTAATTCACAGATTTAATAAAATTTTTTAAATTTAATGTCATAAATTCTATTTTCTGTGTAACATGACATTTTATATTAAAAATATATTGTTTTTATTAAGAAAACAGATTGATTTATTCAACAAATATTTGAGCCATTCTAGGTATATGGTGAGATTAAGACAGTGTCTCCTGTTCTCATGTACCTAATATTCTAGTGAAGAAAGTCAATATTTATAAAAAAACAAACAAATAGAATAACATAAAAGAGTAGTAAATGCCAAGAGAAAATGAGAGCAGGGTAAAGTCTAAATGATTTGGAAGGGCAGGGAAGGTGTCTAGGAAACCTAATGTTTAAATCAAGACATGAGTGAAAAGGAGCCAACCAACATTCCAAGCAAAATGACAGCAAGCACAAAACTCTGAGGTGAGAAAATGTGCAATGTTCAAAAATCAGAAAAAGCCAGGATGGTTGAAATGTAATGGCTGAGGCACAGAGTGATATAAAATCATAGAGAAGGCAATAGGAAAACACAACAATTTAACATTTCCTTAGAGGTTTCAATCTCTTTCACAACTTATACCTCCAATTAAAATTAGTCATAGAAATTGTACTCATGTAAAGCAACCCTATTCTAACAGTCAAGAACCATGCACTGAGTTCTCAAGAAATTCCTTGAGAAAATCCAAACAGGGACATCTAAAGGGGAATTTCAGACAGCTTCACTAACTGATTATTTCTAATTGTTTTTTCTACTAAAATTTGCATTCCATGTACCTAAACAAATCACCTTTCCCCACTCACACACAAAAAAAGCAAAAAACACACTGGTAATTTCTAGATACCTCAGTATTTCTTATATGCAAGATGGTTTAAAAGTTATATATTTTATATTGCTCACTATATTACTTGTAAAGATACATATGTTTTATAATGAAATGTAATTCTAAAATCCTTCCATTTTAACAGTAATTATTTCTAAATTTAATAAAACTTAGAAACTTAGGAACGGAAATTTAGAAACTTGGGAGCATTTACTGATGATCTTAAGGGTTATTTAGACAAGATCCTCGTGGCTCAGATGGTAAAGAATCTGCCTGCAAAGCAGGAGACCCGGGTACAAACCCTGATTCTGGAAGATCCCCTGGAGAAGGGCATGGCAACCCACTCCAGTATTCTTGCCTAGAGAATTCCATGGACAGAGGAGCCTGGCGGGCTGTAGTCCATGGGGTCACAAAGGGTCAGACACGACTGAGTGACTAACGCTTTCTTACTTTAAGGGTTATTTAAGCTCAATGAAATTTATCCAGAAAAAAAGGTAAGAAGTGGTCACCCCAAAATTATTCATATTAAAACTAAAATAAAGCCATTTATTCAGTTATAAATATTTAATGAGAATCTACCAAGTGTTCAAGTTTATAGAAATACAGCAGAAAATAAAACACATTAAAATCTCTGTCCTCATGGATTTCACATTTAGTAATACAAAGAGATGAGGATCAGCAGACAGGAACAACACAGAAACCTGGATGTCTCTCTTTACTCCTCCCTCTTCCTGTCTCTCCAAATTCCTCTAAATACCACTCATCTTTTACTACCTCACTGACATGATTTAGCCAACGACATTACTTGCTTGCATATCTGACATATTCATCTACACTATCTTCAACCTAACTGTCAGTCTGTCTGGCTGTTAGTCAGGAGCACTGTGTTCTTTATTCACCAGTGATTGCATTTCCAGTGTCTAGCATGAGACCTGGCACATACTAGATACCCAGTACATTACTGAATGGGCTTCCCAGGTGGCTCAGATGGTAAAGAATCTGCCAACAGTGCAGGAGATGTGGGTTCAATCCCTGGGGCAGGAAGAGAAGGAAGCGGCAATGTACTCCAATATTCTTGCCTTAAGAATCCCTTGGACAGAGGAGCCTGGCAGGCTACAGTCCAAGGGGTCACAAAGAGTCAGACACAACTGAGCATGCATATATGCACACTGCTAAATAACTAAAATGCAAATGTGATCATGTTACTACTAAATCCTAAAATGGTACCCAAATGCTTTTAGGATCCAGTCTACATATCCTTGAGTATCAGGCACAAGCCTGCCTACAGATCTAGCTTCATTCTTTCCTATGGCCCTTTGCCCACTCCCATCCAGTCATACAATTTTTGTTCTTCCAATATACAACATTCTTTTCCACCTCTAAACGTATGTGGGCTTCCCAGGTGGCACCAGTGGTAAAGAATCCAACTGCCAGTACAGGAGATGCAAGAGATGTGGGTTCAATCCCTGGGCTGGGAAAATCCCCTGGAGGAGGAAATGGCAACCCACTCCAATATTCTTGCCTGGGAAATCCCAAGGACAGAGGAGCCTGGAAGGCTACAGTCCACAGGATTACAAAAGAGTTGGACACAACTAAACTCACATGCATGTGTGAAACATCTGTACCTCTTGTTCCCTTGTGCCTAAAGCATTTTTCTTCTCTATTCCTTCCCCTAACTGCAGCTTTGCTTTCTGATCTCAGTCTGAATATTATTTCCTGTGACAAGTCATCATGACATCTCCAATCTGACTTAAGAACCTTCCTACGTACTGCTTGCAGTTACCCCACTATAGCACTTACTATATTCTACTGTAATTGCTTCTGTAAAGTCTCTGTGCCCCACTGGGATGTAAGCTCCATAAAAAGCAAACACTATCTACCTACTTGTGCATTATGCCAGCACCTCGCTCTGAACACAACACTTGTTATGTGTAACACTTAAAACTAAGAGGGCAAGAAGAACTATGATTAGGATATTTTAGAGGTGCCCAGGTCTACTACCTGAGGACTCTTTTGAGACCACTGTGAATGTCTATAAAAGACTGACCTAGTCTGGTGATCTAGTGTAATGTACTCATTAATCTAAAAGTCTTTCTGTTTTGAGGCCCACTATCATTCAACATTTATACCTCTGCAAAATATGGTAAACACTTGCATATATATATACTATAACAGCAGATTGTGGTATCTGATTTTATAACATATACATATATGGTAGGTTAAAAAGGTTTATATATTCTTTTAATTTGTATTCCATAAGGAAAAATAATATATCTTCTAATTCTTTATATGCATGCTCAGTCGCTTCAGTCATGTCCAACTCTTTGCAATCCCATGGACTGTAGTCCCACCCCCCACCCCCGGCTCTTCTGGTCCATGAGATTCTCCAGGCAAGAATACTAGTGTGGGTTGCCATTTCCTTCTCCAAATTGCTCTACATAAAATACAATAAAGACAGAGAGACAAAGAAATTGGTACATTTTCAAAGTAAAGAGTTTCTTAAATATTTACAGTAAATATTTAGGATTAATAGTTTCACTAAGTTTTCTCAATTCAAAAAGATAATTTATTGTGTGCAAGCCCTAGGGGTGGCTCAATAACTACTTGCTGACTCAGTGTCATTTATTTGATGTTATAGAAGATACTCAAAGAAACGTAAGACATAATTCTTGATTTAGAACACTTTTAATCTAGGTAAAAAACAAGATGCAAGTATATGTGAGAAGCAGTAAAACATACAGCTTTAGAATATGTTTCACTAGAGGTGTACCCCAGCACTGCCATTTACTAGCTACATGATTTTCAGCAAGTTACTTAAGTGATCTTAGATTCAGTTTTCTGTTTTGCAAAATAATTAGAATAATAATCTACTTTGTAGGGTGTTATAAAGACTACCTAATATAGACAATATCTATAAAGTGCTTATTACCACAGTGCTGGACATAAACATTCAATCAATGCAAATTATCATTGACATAATATTAAATAGTTTTTAACACAATAATAATTAAACAAAGTATGCAGTTTGAAGTGGAAGGAGCTAACCCGGGCTAGTGTTAGGTTTCATGTAATAAAAGACTGTAGAAATTTTTCTGCTATACTTGTTAAATAAAAATCTGACTAAAATCTTTGGAAAGATTACTAAAATAAGTATGACATGAGCAAATTCCAGGTATGATGTATATAGCTCATGTGGCCACACTTCTATTAGGAATGAGAGTATGTGCATTTTTTTTTCAGTTCCAATCGTTTGAACAAATAGATATTTCTATCTTACTTTTGCTTTATTTACCTATGTATCTAATGATTTCTGCCAATGAAAAATGGACCAGACTATGCTAAGTCCACTTACTTTTCTGATTTGCGTGAGGAAACACTTCTTCCCCAACTCTAGATGTGCCCTTTCATAGGAAACGAACTGCCTCCCTGTAACACACTTGACCTCCTTCCAGGGCTTTATTCACTATACCCCAGAAGAGAAGAAATGCCCTCTACAACTTCTAAATTTTGGAAGAATAAACTGAACATGATCACAATGCTATTTAACTAGAAGGTTAAATCTAAGTCTGGAGTTCAGTTAGAGTTTATTTTGCTCTTGCACTAAGTTATGTCCTCCTACCCAATCTTTACCACAAGTAAAAGTATAGTTTTGCTCTCCCATTTGCCTTTCTATTTTATTTTCTCTATTTGTTCAGAATCTAAGTGAGGAAAACAGGCAGTTTTACTGAACTCCTTCAAATATCCCAACAAGTTATTGAATATTTATAAAACACTTATTTAATGTCCATTATGTAGGATATCAAGGATATGACAATGAATGATATATCGTCAATGCCATCAAGTGAAAAGGGACTCTGTCTCACAGAACAATTTTCAGGAATGCATTATACCACAAAAACAGCAATCACCAGTAGTGTCAACTGAGATGAGAGCCTAATATCTGGAATTACACACAACAGATGCTATTATTCTGCCAGTATCAGAGACAAAGACACTGAAGTTACAAGCTTTAATAGACAGAGGTAAATCACCATGTCCATATTAGTTTAATCAACTCATGGTATCTCTACTACATTTGGGGAATTTTAAAACCTTACTTGTCATGATAAATACCTTTTCCTTTAGTGACTAGAACCAAAGGTATGATCACAATCAGCTTTACTTAATAGATAGCACTTTATATATGAGTTTAAGAGCTCAAAAACCAACTCAGCAATAAGCAAAGAAGCAAATAACTAATTTTAAAAACGTGTGTCTAAGCACAAATCCACAAGCATTCATCCCTTTGTTTTAGAAACAATCCTGGTAAACCAGGTTATCTCCTTTTCCAAGTAACAGCAGATTAGAAGGAGCAAACTGGAAACAGGAGCGTGAGAAACTAGAGAGGCTACAGACATAGATACATTGATAGCAGGGAAAAAAAGACTTAAGAACTCAATTAGATCATAAACCTCATGAGGGCAGAAACTGTGTTCACAGTTCTGTGCTATATCCCCAGTGCCTACTATCTATAGTGCTAGCAATAGATAATTGATGAATAATGGAGCATTAAATAAACTACAAAGGTTAACATTTGGGATCTATATTTCTCATAATGACAAATAGTTCTACACACTTCAGCAAACTCTGAGAACAAATTCAGATAAATAAAAATAGTAATATTCTTAATAATGAATATTTCAAAAAAGAGTTAGCTATGTTTAGAATGGTCAGTATATAAAGACAGAAAAAGGATAACGTCCAATATGGCAATAATAAAGAGAACACTGGTAAGCTTAAATTATCTGAAATACTAACTTATGAGAAATATCATATTCCCTAAATACACTGGATTAATGAATTGTTAATATAAAAATTTTATTGGTAAAAACCCCCATGTATTAATTCTCAGGAAGACTACAATTTTTAATAGTATAAACTCACTTGAAATACTATATAAATGCTAACAAGAAATAATAACAATGAGTACATATAGTAAAACTATATTCATTACTTACAAAGCAAATATAGCTAAATGTAATTTGAGTATCTCAAAATAGGGAGGAAAAACTCACACACTCAGTTCACTATACACAGCATTCTGAAGTTTTTTCTCCCAACCTATTTTAAAAAAAGGAAAACATATACAAACATATTAGTTTTTAAAGTAAACATACATTAAAATTAAATTTATCTCACAAAAACTTTAATATCATATTTACTGCAAAAGAACCTTACAAACTGCCAATTGCTAATGTAAAGTGTTATTCTAAGGAATTATTTCTTATGTATTTACCAATATTCCCTTCGCTAACACTAAATACAAAGTCATCAACATGATTTATTACTTTGTAAGTTAAACTATGGCGCCATTTTCTGAAGATGAGAAGACTATTTCCTTCTTCCACTGTTAAGGCACTCAACAAATGCCAAAATCTTTGGCAGTTGTACTGTCAGTGCTATGAGGAATATGCATATGGAAGGGCGAGAAACAGCCAGGCACCTGACAAAGATCACAAGTAATTCGTGACAATAACCTGGTCAGTAAATTCCTAAACAAGAGAAGCAGACTATTACAAGGCACCACCAGTCAGGTCAGTTCACTTGGCTACTAACTATTATTTTTGATCAACTTATCTGGCCAAGTAAACCACTTAATATCTCAGCTCCCAAGTGCAAAGGCTTCTTAACAGCTTGCTCTAAAAAAGCTGAAATTTTCTTCTGTTTTCTTTGAAGGGTAGAAAAGAGAGAAAAGAAGCAAAGAAGGAAAAAAAGTCACAGATGAAAAGTAAAAGACAAGGTATTTAACTAAGGAGATTTTAATACATTCAGGATGTATTTTGACTAGGAAGGTAAACACTATTTAAAACTGATCAATGTAAAGTAGTTATTACCTGTGTTCCTGAATTTCTGCAGAAATGTCTGAAAGTTCTAATTCACTTCAACTAAAAAAACTATCCTACCACTCTTTCACAATTTTAAACAAGTAATTGACTGCAAATACAATATCCCCTCAAAATAAAGTCTTTCCTTATTTTGCTTTAAAGAATTAAAGAAAAAGAAAAAGCAACTTACAAACCTGATATTTTAAAGAATTCCTTAATATCTTCTTTTAGTGATTCAAGTTTAATCTCAGGTCTCTGAAGACTGGCCTGATTTTAGAAAGAAGAAACAAAAAGACAGGTCAAAAGTAATCATTTGGGGTGATACTTAATGCTAACGAGATGTTTAAAAAGGAATGTCCAAATGTGCGTGCATGTGTGTGTGTGTGTTAGTTGCTCAGTTCTGTCCAACTCTTTGAGACCCCATGGACTGTAGCTCACCAGGCTCCATAGGATTCTCCAAGCAAGAATACTGGAGTGGGTTGCTATTTCCTTCTCCAGGGGATCTTCCCATCCCAGGGACTGAACCCGAGTCTCCAATACTGCAGACAGATGCTTACCATCTAAGCCACCAGGGAAGCCCCCAACATGCATACTACCATTTAAAACACCCCCTCTGAGATCAGAGCACCTGAGCATTGGGAACAGCTCCTAAGACAGAACACTTTCATATACTCTTAAAGCAGAAGATCTGTGATAGGACACTAGAATCTACTTAAAATATTAAACCTTGTAGCTAATGAACAGTTAACATCATCTAAGACTTTCATTTTTATGAATATTTAACATCTATTTTTCTAATAGGAAAAATACTTTATAAATTCATTCTCTTTATACATAATACATATGCCATCTACATACACCAAATAGCCAAAAACCATGATGCATCCATATAAACTGGAGCTTTGAAGAGTGTCATCCCCTTTGGATTGCTGCTCTGTAAACCTGTATTTGTTGTACATTTTTATGGAAAATACATAAAACCACTCACTCACAAATGCTTATTCGTGTCTCTTTCATCTTCAGTTGAATGCTTTCTGTTCTACTGGTTTTTCACACTGTAATTTTTACCAAAATAATAATTTCTCCAACTTATAATGGCCTCAATTACCTTTGAAGTGTTGATCTTTCATCACCTAGCTCTCTCTATCAAATTCTACAGACATATTTCTTAAGAAAGCATCTCTCTTAGGGTGTCTCACAAATATTTCTAATCTATCAAAAACTGATCTTATATTCCACTCACTACCTTTCTCCTTCTCTCCTATTTTTAATCCTCATCCATGAAAATTACCATTCACCAAGTCAGAAATTTCAGTTATTCTCAATTCTACCCTAATTCTTCCAGGATTTTAACCTCTCTCTGGGAAGATGACATTGGCAGTAAGGAGATTTTTTTTTTTTTTTTTTTTGCTTTAATCTCCATGATCTCCACATTGAAACCAAGCAACTAGACAACAAAACCAAAATCCCATGGAAAACTCTCACAACCAAACTTGGTAATCAGGTATTCCCCACAAACCTAAAATATAAGCAGTGAGGGACAAACCAACAACCACAAGACTTGTATGAAACAACTATAAAAGGAAAGATTAAGACTTGTATGGAACAACTATAAAAGGAAAGAGCAGAGGGGCTGCTGATGAATATGAAAAGAGGAAGACCCCAAAATTGCCAGCAAGTATTCACTGGAACATATGAAGAGCTAATTTTAGAACAGGAGCTGACAGTGGAAGGGTTGTTCTCTAATCCAAGATAGCAGATGAGGTCTGAAGACACCAGAGCAGCCTCACACTTATGAATACTTGAAACTGACCAGACAAGTCTCCTTGTCTATCTACCTTTCGAAGAAGAAAAACTTGATAGAGTAATGAAAATTGAAGATACAAGGAACCAACTTACTACCTTGAAAACTGATAAATAAATGAAAAGGCATCTATCTAGCCTGACTTTCCTACAGGAACTATCGTTTAGTCACTAAGTTGTGTCTGACTCTTCTGTGACCCCATGAACTGTAGCCTGCTAGGCTCCTCTGTCCATGGAACTTCCCAGGCAAGAATACTGGAGTAGATTGCCATTTCCTTCTATGGAGAATCTTCCCTACCCAGGGATCAAACTCATGACTCCTGCATTGGCAGGGGAAATCTTTATCACTGAACCACCAGGGAAGCCCTACAGAAACTATATCATCTGGTAACCAAATAACAGATAAGGAGAAATGTCTCTTTATAAAAATATTCCAGCTAAAATAACTAAAACAGGTATGATATAATTAGAATACCATCATTTTGCAACTCCTAATCAATTCTAGGCATTAAGGAGAAACAGCTACTAACTTTGCAAAAAACAACCAGCCATTATGTGCTTCTCAATGAAAGTGGATGCCAGTGCCAATAGATGTGGTCACTGAGATGGCACCTGAGTCTGATCAAAACCCCTGAATCCAACCGTCAACTTACAAGTCATACAAACGACAGAGGAACGTGTTAATCTGAATCATGGAACTTCAGCAAAAGAAGGGATTAGAGAGTTCTTCTAGGCCAACTAACCATTTAATGACAGATTCACATCTCCTCTCCAAGGAGCTTTTTTAGCCTAGAAACTCTCAGTTTGAAACTCTATGCTAGCTTTCCCTACATTTAGTCAATGCTACCTTGAAACTATTCTGTTAGAAAATCCTTATTATTATGAGCTAAAACTGATTCCCCTAACATCTGCTACTATTATGTCTTCCCCTCTGCTCCATCTTACCCCAAGTTCACAGAAAATATGCCAAATCCCTTTTCTGTGAGAGATCTTCAAGTACTCAAAGTCAGCTATTGTTCTCTTCCCACAAAGTTCTCAAGGTCACATACATTTTCAGGTTCTCCAAGTTCTCTTCATATGACATATTCTCCTTACCACTCTGGTCATTTTCTCTAAGCAAAGTCTAGTCCAACTTGTTTTCTACTGTAGTAACTTCCTAACTTACCTCTCTATTTCACTCATTCCACTACACCACTTATTCTCAAACTTTTAAGTCTCAGGACCCTCACTCTTAAAAATCATTGAAGACCCAAGAGTACTTCTGTTTATGTGGATTATATCTACTGATATTTATAGTACTAGAAATTAATTCCTCAAAAAATAAAAAATTGAATTTCCATATGGTCCAGCAATTCCAATTCTGCATACATACTCAAAAGAACTGAAAACAGGGACGTTAACAGCTACTTGTACACTCATGCTTATAGCAGCATTATTTATAATAGTTAAAATTTGGATGCAACCCAAGGGTCAAAGATAAATGAATGGATAAAGAAAATGTTGTATGTATACACAATGGAATACTATTCAGCCTTAAAAAAGAAGACAATTCTGGCACATCTACAACATGGACACACCTTGAGGACATTATGCTAAGCAAAATAAGCCAGTCACAAAAAGACAAATGCTGTATGATGCTACTTATATGAGGTACTAGAATAGTCAAATTCATAGAGACAGAAAGTGGAATGGTTAACAGCCAGGGACTGTGAGGAAGGAGCAATGGAAGTTAGTGTTTAACGAGTACAGGGTTTCAGTATGGGATGATGAAAAAGTTCTGGAGGTGGATGGTGATAATGGTTGCATAAAAATGTGAGTGTACTTAATGTCACTGAACTGTACACTTAAAAATGGTTAAAATGGCAAATTCCATGTTTATTTCATCTTAATAAAAATATTTGTCAATTCATTTAAAAATAATATATATAAATCCATTATATATTAACCAAAATATTTTTATTTAAAAGAACTATATTTTCAGAAACAAAAATTAGTGAGAAAAAGAGGCACTGTTTTACATTTTTGCAAATGTCTTTGATGTTTGGATTAGTAGAAGACAACTGGATTCTTCGATCTGCTGTGATATTCCATCTGTGGCACTATGCTGTTTAGACTAACATACATGAAAATCAGTGTGAAACAGATAGGCAACTGGAAAATGATATTTTAATATACTTTTCAGATATTCTCCTTTGATAGTATACTAAATTTGACAGCTAGTAGTTTCCTAAAGATTAGTTGAAATGTGGAATTTGAACATCAATGAACTTCTCATACTTTCATACTTTATTGGAAAAACATGTTTCGATCTGCCTTGCACTTTGAACCAATCTTCTACTTACACATGATTTTGTAACATTATGTATCGATCATTTCAAACATATTAACAAGCGATGCAGTGGACATATTTTATTAAACAATATCAAAAATTAACATTTGTTAATATTACCATCAATATCATCAGAAAAGTATTTAAGTATTAGGAAGTCATCAAATTCACACTGATGAATACAAGTTTTCCAGAATCCAATTTTTATTTAAAGCCTGAATTTTATGATTGGCAACACATAATGGTTTTCCTTGAAGTGATAGGCTCACTTTGCTCATTTTAGAGAAAATATCTGCCAAATATTCAAGTCTGAATAACAGCTTGTCAACAGTTTACACTTACAAGTAAAGATGTTTCATTTTTTTTAAAAAAACAATTCAGTTTATAATTTAGTTAATCACTGGAGTGGTCTTCCTCTAGATAATCATCTTATTTCAATATACAGCAGTAGTGTCTTACTCATAATTTCCATTTCAGCAAACAGAATATTTAAAAATTAGTATTCAAGAAATGAGATTTAATAAAATTTATACTTGTTTACTGTTGATCAAGAACACTTAAACATTTAGATTATTTTTTAAAACTGTGTTGGCGAAAAATACAGTGACTACTAGTATAGTTTGGTACTAGTTCCCCGATTTAAACTCATCGACACTGCTTTTGTAGCATCAGTACAAATGTCAGCACAGTGAATATTCTTTTTAAAGGCCTTTGTATTATAGAAAATAGTTTTGACCTGAAGGGGTCTTAGGGCCCACCAGGGTTTCGCAGACTATACTTTGAGAACCACTGCACTAGGCTTCTAAAGCATATGTCTTTCATCTCTGAACTAGCATAATGCTTATCACATAGAAGTACTTCATAAACATGTTTTCAGTGAACACATTGCACTAAAGATTACTTAGGCCTACACCTACAAAGTGAAAGTTCCTCAGTTGTGTCTGACTCTTTGCAACCCCATGGAGTATACAATCTGTGGAATTCTCTAGGCCAGAATACCGGAGTGGGCAGTCCTTCCCTTCTCCAGGGGATCTTCCCAACCCAGGATGGAACCCAGGTCTCCCGCATTGCAGGCAGATTCTTTACCGCATTGCAGGGAGCAGATTCTATCAGGGAAGACTTTCCTGGTGGCTCA